CTCCCGTGCAGTAGTCAAGTCAGTGTTGGCGCGGGAGGTGCAGTGGCTCTGTCGGCTCGTTTTCTAAACCAATTATTATTCCTCTCCTTACACACACAAAAAAAATGTCGTGGCAAAATTACGTTGACCAGCAGCTGATGGGCTCTGGCTTTGTTTCTAAGGCGGTTATTGCCGGTCACGATGGCACATTATGGGCCAAAAGTGATAACATCGAAGTAAGTAAGATTTGCCGGTTCTGACTTTCTCCTGTTGAGTCTCTGTCTGACCTCCCTGCTACCTCCTCTCTCTCGTGCACTCCTAGCGTTAGGGAATTAACCAGGCGTGTGTCAGGTGATCAGTAGAAGTGTCGTAGACGTAGAAAAGTAGCGAGAAGCGTAAGTATGAGTGTCCGGCGGCAGACAAAGGCCGGCTGGCGTGGCCTCCTCCTCGCTCGCCTCCTGCCTTCCTTCGCTCCCCCTCGGGTCGCCCTCGCCCCCCTCGCCCTCGACGGAACCACTGGATCTACTTCGGGAAAAGGGCTTCGTCTGGTGTTCTCTCCCTCCCCGGCAGTTTCGGCAGCGTTATTTCTAAGTGTTTGGCAATCCATAGAAACGGTTCGCCCTTTCTCGAAACGCGCTTTAATCTTGATCAATACCACTCCCCCCCCCCCCCTCTCCTTAAGGGTGTTCTTTGAGGGAATTGCCGCCACTTCCCCCCACCCCCCTCTCCTTAAGGGTATTCTTCGAGGGAATTGCCGCCTCTTCCTCGAAATGAAGAGGCTAAAAAATACGAGGCCCAGGAACACGCGGCTTGGAAATAAAGCCTTCGCCGGTTGATAGGCCTATAAATATGACGTTTTACAGGCTTTTACGGCTTTATTTTTTTACCAGAGAACTCGCATGTGGAGATAGTGTAGGAGTATTGATTAACTTTTTTTTTTTGTGTATTTTAGATCTTTGACTCACGAGATCGTATTGTGCGGTTAGCAACGGAAGTACTTTGCAGTAGAGCAGTATTTTTAAGTGTTGTGTAGGCCATTATTTTTTGCTGTAAGAATTTAGTATTTGATGAAAAATAAATTTAAGAGGTTTGTATTGTGAAAGTGATTGAATTATGATAGCTTGTTTAAGATAGCTTTAAATTTGAACTGTTCAGAGGTGATGGAAACGGGACATGTGGTGATTATTAATTTGCTTAATTTTTTTTTTATTCTTCAAAGTACCAATATTAAAAGTGAAAGTTGTGGTAATGTTGCTTAGTTGAGCTGTTTGTATTTACATACATATTGGTTGAAATATGAAGTATGGAAGATGTAGAAATTAAGTACAGAAATTTAAGAAAAAAATTATGAATTTAAAGTGATAGTGAAGATTTTGCTTTTTCTGGGACATACCATGCATATGTTGCAAAGTTAAAATGGATATAAAGGCATATAGTAGATGAATTTTAAGAGGTTAGTCATTCTTACATGTAAATTTATGGCATATTTACCCTTGGTTCTCCAGTAATAGCCAAGAAGTCACCATAGATTGTTCAGGTAGAACAGGGTGTGGGATTGAGAGATCTTTGATAAACTGCAGCAATTTGTAAAACTTTATTATTAGATATAATTTTCACTTCCTCAGTCTACCCATATTGAAACTGTTTTATGAAAAGGTCTAGGAATCATGATAATTCAGTTTCATAGGACTCGGTTCTACAGTCCCTCGGCACTCGTGATGCACCAGCAAAGGCCAACAACCCTGTGATGTATATTCTGGCAAGATGCTTTGTCTGGTTTCATTTTTGATAAATTGCCAGGGAGGTCTACAGACTATTTTGCTAGAATATATATGAATATTTATTGACTTTGCCCATGTTCTGGAGACTGAAAGGTTTGCTACTGATAGTTATACTTTTTATAGATTGCTGGCTTTACTTTGACTTTTTGCAGATATTTTTGCAAAGTTGCTTGTACCATATTCCCATTCCCTCGTTCTGGTCTCGTGTCCTTGTTTTGTACCAAACTTTTGATTCCTTTTGCCATGATACAATATCTTCAGGAAATTTAGGAGATATCTTGAACAGGAAAGAATAGCATGTTTGGGTAGGCTGAATACATTATGCGTTATTAAAGCTGTTACATAGCTGTAAGCACTTGGTGTATTTTATGAGTCCTTGAATGTTTTAGTACAGATAGACCTTTTAATCCTTTAAGCGTGTGAAAATTGATAATACAATGAAGTATTATCAATTGGCCAGAGTAAACATGGGAGTCTGTAGAGTAAGCATAGCAGGAAATGGTTTGTTCAGATACAAGATGTTATATAGACTTATGGACAGTTTCTAAACTTTCCAACAAACAGGGTAAAGGAATTGAGAATTAATTTAGAGTTAAAGAACCCACATGGCTGATAATATACTTTCCTACTTCCTGTTGAAGTTTCTGATAAGCTTTATTTTATATACAAGCTGTACAGTCCAGCAGTGTTGCTGAATGTGGCGAGTTCATCATACAGGGTGATTAGAAGTTCCAATGGCCCTCCAGCATCCCCGTAGAGTTGGAGAGAGTAGAACATATTGAGGAGACCTTGGCAACTTGAGCTGGATGTGGGCCAAATGGGGAAAAGTGAAAGTGTGGAGCGTCGTCACTCTGGCAGCCACGCTTGACCGTTTGCATCATTAAGTTGGGAAATTTTTCAAGGATCAGTTGATTTGTTAATTTTTGGAAGAGCGGAATTCAAATTTGTATAGATTTTACAACCTGTTTTCTTAGAAAAGGTCCAATTGTATCTGAATTAGTGGGTACAGTTTTCTCCCCCCCTCCCCCCCTCCCCATGTAATGTATTAGGCAAAGGAGTAAATCTAATCCAAGTATATAATTTCTCAATTAGTTAATGAAAGTAAGTATAGTTATAGATTATCTCCCTTATTAAGATAGACATGTATAGGAGGAAAAAAATGTTGAAGGTTATCATGTTTTTGCATATTATAACTACAAGTGAATAATAACATGCACACATGGTAGATGTTTACCTATATAGTATCATGTTAGTATTCTTGTAATGTATAACAGGTGATGGTTTAGTTAGATTCTCTGTATTACATTAGATCAAATGCAGGTTTGGAGTGATATTTATTAGTAATTAAGCTTCCTTAATATGGCTGCACCAACTGGAATTAAGCACTCCATAAGAAGTTACTAGTGCACTAAATATAGCAGAAGAGGGCTCTTGTATTTCAATAGTGAGATACCTGTACAAATATGGTTGTGTATTGTATTCATAATCAAGACCACATTTTGATTTGTAAAAAAACACAAGTTAGTGTAACTATGCTTTCACATGATTAGCTTCAAATATAGCAAGCTATAATACCAAATTCTGTGCACTATTCATATCCATACCAATGTAGGCAGATTAGATTGTAGATGTAATTGGTTAGGGGAAATTGGTTGAATGCAATGCTGCTATTTTGCACAAGACTTCAGCTATTGTAGGCTGTAGCTCAGTGTGAATTGTAATTGGGGTTTAGTCACCTTTTTTAAGGAATTTTCTAAAATTCAGATTTTAAATGTTCATTTCTATGTTTAGATCAATCTGTCATTAGATGATAGTGTTGCTTATTGCCACTAAAATATTCTTCAAAAGGTTAGTTTACTTATAGCTATGAATAGATTTTACTGTTGTAGTTTGTCTACTTGGGAGTAGTGCTGCTGTTTTGTACACACTTGTCTTTAACTATTCATTGGATCACGAGTGCTTTTTTTTTTTTCTTCTTCCACTACCGTATTGAAAAAAAAGTGGTGTTAGGAATCCCTATTCCGAGTGATATATCTTGATTTTGGCAATTGTTCAATCTGTGGAGTTTTTCTTATACCAGCAAATGACAACTGGACATGTCAAGAATTGTGCAGTGCTCATGCAGTGTCATTAATTTAAGAGTTCTTTGAAAATCTTGCTTGTGTGATACAGTATTTTTCTTGAAAGATTAAGCTAGTTTATTATTTATAGATGTGTTGATATTGAACATTCATGTATGTAGCAGTAACTCGTTTTCCCCTAAGTATTGCTACAGATTGATATGGAGTGCACTTCTTTCTTTCTTTCTTACTTTGAAGACCTTGTCTGCATATTTGTGCATGATATATTTACATTTAGTTCAGTACAAACTAGTGTTGCCTTGAAATGAAGTAAAATGTACAAGTTACTATTTTTAAACCTAAAACAAAGATTGTAATATTCTTGAATTAAAGACTTAGAAATTACTTTTCCCAAATTCATTGTTTGAAATTATAAGCACCACTTTATTATTTGGATGTAAACATCATGACCTTAATATGCTAAATAATTTTAAAGTTTTATGTTCTCTGCTATGTTCTGATTCAATTTTTTTCTTTTTCAGCCATCCCGGGAGGAGTTAGTAAAGTTAGCAAACAGTTTTACAGATCAGAAAGGCCTTGCAATGACTGGAGTTCACATGGGTGGTGAAAAGTACTTCTACCTCTCTGGCACCGACAAGGTAAGAGAAACTATATATTTCTTCCCCATTTGTTTGAGTGAATGTGGTTTAGGTGTGAAAGTGTTTGTGGAGATAGTGATATGAAAGTTTAATCTAAATAGTAGTGCAGATGGAAAAGTTTTGAGTGCACATTTTTCATGGACAGGTTCAGTGCTGCTGTTTCTTAGTTGTATTCGGAATTGAGGGTGTATTGCTGGTGTTTCAATTCTTTCCTTCCAGTTTTAACTTTTCAGTTACTTTTTTCCTCTTTTTCCTTGTTCTTGCTTTCCCCCTCCTTTTACTTTCTTCTCTTACTCCTTGTTTCTGCTCCTTGCTTTCCCTCTTTTTTTTTCTTTTTGTTAGGTTGTGCTCTTGCTCTCCACCTGTTTCTCTTTACTTGTATGCTTTCTCCCCTCATTTCTCCTTCCTCTCCCCCCCACTGTATTTCCTTTTGATTTCCTTGTTTTTCTTTCCCATGTTTTGTAATATTTTCACTTGCTTTCTTCCCTCATTTCTCCTTACTCTTCTTCCCCCCCCCCCTCCCTTTCCCCCCTCCCTTTTGATTGCTTGTACTCTTCCTCCCTTTCCCAAGTATTTCCTCGTGCTCCCCCCCCCCCTCCCACACACACACACACTAGTGTTGCTATATGCTGTTGCTCGTTTATCGTGCCCTGCCCCCATAACCATGTCACGTTGTTTCTAGCCCTCCCCTCCCCACCTGATCTCTTGTTGCTATTTCACCCCACATCCCCTACCCCTTTTGACCCAGTGTTACCGTTGCCATTTCTCTCTCTCCTCCGTCCTTGTCTCTTCTCTCTCTGTGGTATCCACCTCCCTTACTTCCTGCCTATGTCTTCTTGCGGTTTCCTCCTCCCCATGTGTTATCCCACTTATCCTCATTGCGGTTTCCTCCTTTCAAACTCCTTCCCCTTGCCTCATTACTGTTTCCATCTCCTCCCCATGTCTTCTCTTCCTGAATCCCTCTCTGCCTTCTCCTGATCCTCCTTGCTGTTTCTTCCTCCCTGTCTTTTCTCATCCTCTTAGCTGTTTCCTCCTCCTCCTCCTCCTCCTCCATGTCTTCTCCTTATCCTCTTTGCCGTTTCCTGTCTCTTTTCCTTGCTGTTTCCTCCTCCTGTCTCCTCCTCCTCCTCCACGTGTTTTCCTTCTTGCTGTACCTACTTTCCCTTCTTGTCAAACTCACTCGCTCCTTCCTTCCCCTTATCAGAAGCTCTCCCCTCTCCCTCCCTCCCTCCCTCCCCTCCCTCCCTCCCTCCCTCCCTCCCTCCCCTCCCTCCCTCCCTCCCTCCCTCCCTCCCCTCCCTCCCTCCCTCCCTCCCTCCCTCCCTCCCTTCCTTCCTTCCATTTCTCGTTTCCTTTCTGCTTGTCCTAGCCTAGTATGTAAACAAGGTTATGGGTAAAGTAGATACATGAATTCTAAGGTACTTATGAAAAGTTTTAAAGACTTGTACATAAACCAAGCCAGAGCAGAGTAGTTCTGTTATTTTTTTTGCCAGACTTCAGAATCTAGAATCCACCTGCGTGAACAAAAATACCATGTCAGTTCTCTCTACGCAAATTGTAGATTTCCCTGCCAGTCTTCTCAAGCTCGGTTTTACCAAAATATGTGCAGAAAGTATTTACAACTGCCCTTGAATTCATTTGATATCTCTTCCCTTGAATTTCCAAAACTTTTAACTTATCATTCCCCCCTTCCCTCTGTACTTGCTTTCTTTTCAATTCCACTTTTCTTAGCCTTCTCACTCTAGCTCATATTTCTCCCTCTTTCTTTGACTCCAAATGTTCCTACATCCAATTTAACCCTGCTACTTGTTTCCTGCCTCACGCCTATCTAAAACATGTTAGTACATCACCCTTTGCCATGTATGCACACCAGACCGGTCAAGTTCCAAGATTGTAGTTTTAATAAGGTTGCTCTTGATTTTGAAAATGTACCAAAGATTACCTTGCATACTCAAAATTTGTTAGGTTTGTTTTATTGCAAGTATGTCAATAACTTTTGGCACATGATTTCTCCATGTAAAGTAAGTTATATAATCTGTTGTAGTAAATTTGTTGATTGTTTTGATAGATGTGTATCTGATGCCAGGAGTGAATGTTCCCATGCATTGTCCTATTTTTCTATATTTTGTTTACACATTGATGGCTTCAGAAGGACTTTGTCATGGAAGTGCTGGGAATTCTTAACCACACCTATAAACTTTAAACTGGAACCTTAGGAAAGCAAAGCTTTTTTTTATATAATGTAAGAATGACAATGTTAATAGTAAAAATGAAACTGACCCTTAAGGTCAAGGAATGGATTACAGGTGAGATCAGGTTGGCTTAGTATTTTATTCCTTTGTGAGAAGGGATTGTAAAATCATGTTATATAAAAATATATAACAAAAACATAGTGGATAATAAATACTGTTGCCAATGTGTTTATATCAAGTAGGGAAAACCAGTGAACTCCATTCCTTTAGAAATGCCATATATGCAAAAGTTTAAATTCAATAATATCTGGAAGGGTTCAGTAATACATGCAGACCTCTCTTCCCCTCCTTTTAGCTCTTCCCCTTTCTTTAGCTTCTAATTAATTTGCTTGTGGTTTGTCTGCTGCGTTGGCTGAGTTGTACAATTTTTTTTTTGTTCTATTATATGCAAAGGAAAAGAAGCCATTTCTTTTTCTTCCAATGAATATCTGCAAGGTCTTTAATGTATAGAGAACCAACAGAACCCAAAACTGTGTTTTTTACATAATTTTATGAATGTGAAATCAAAGGACAGTAGCAAATGAAAAATATTTCAGGCCCTATTTAATGAGAAACCTTTGTAAAGATTTCAGTTGAATATTAAAATCTTTTCATTTATTATGACAGTTCTTCATACAATGGTTATGCTAATTACTGCATAAGTTGTTGCACTTACTGGATTATTTGGGCAGGAATTAGTTTATTCATTCATAAAGTTACCACAAAAGAGACTGACTTATGGTTTAAGGAAACGAACTTAGATATTGTATCAGGAGTTCATGAGCCACTATTTTTTTTATGCAAGTCGGAGGTAGACCCGTTTTCAGACCTTTGTAAATAATACATTCGTGTTTGTGATATCACTTTGCTGTTAATGGTTTACTTTGTTTACTTGTAGAATTCATGTGTTGTCCTGTAAAGAGAAAATTAGTTTAAGGTATATAATTTAAAATGTAATACAATTATTAAGTAATGTGCATTTAAAGTGGCCATGTGTCTATAAAGGAAACCTTGAACATGTCTAAAGGAAGTAAAGTATTCCATGAAAAAGGATGAAAATTTGTCTGCAGTAAACCAGATAATTATTAGGACTTCTAAAAGTAAACTTGTATATTTGTAATACATGTGTGTTGGGAGATTTTACATGTTTGCATTCATGACTTTGTATACAAAGGTATGACAGACGTTCAGTCTCCATGTGTAATACTCGCAAGTGATTATACTTGATAGTGTACTCGGCATATACTAGTGCTCATATTAAACACCTGTCCTTTGTATAAGTACAGTACACACACTTGCATACACTTGTTTATGTACATAGTACACGTGCCTACGTATACAGTACACATACCTGCATATGTTTGTGTACATAGTACATATGCCTGCATACATCTGTCGTACATGGTACACGTGCCCGCGTGCATTTGTGCACGTACATGGTACACGTGCCCGCGTGCATTTGTGCACGTACATGGTACACGTGCCCGCGTGCATTTGTGCACGTACATGGTACACGTGCCCGCGTGCATTTGTGCACGTACATGGTACACGTGCCCGCGTGCATTTGTGCACGTACATGGTACCACGTGCCCGCGTGCATTTGTGCGCGTACATGGTATTTGTGTGCGTACATGGTACCACGTGCCCGCGTGCATTTGTGCGCGTACATGGTACCACGTGCCCGCGTGCATTTGTGCGCGTACATGGTACCACGTGCCCGCGTGCATTTGTGCGCTTACATGGTACCACGTGCCCGCGTGCATTTGTGCGCTTACATGGTACCACGTGCCCGCGTGCATTTGTGCGAGTACATGGTACCACGTGCCTGCGTGCATTTGTGCGCGTACATGGTACCACGTGCCTGCGTGCATTTGTGCGCGTACATGGTACCACGTGCCTGCGTGCATTTGTGCGCGTACATGGTACCACGTGCCTGCGTGCATTTGTGCGCGTACATGGTACCACGTGCCTGCGTGCATTTGTGCGCGTACATGGTACCACGTGCCTGCGTGCATTTGTGCGCGTACATGGTACCACGTGCCCGCGTGCATTTGTGCGCGTACATGGTACCACGTGCCTGCGTACATTTGTGCGCGTACATGGTACCACGTGCCTGCGTATGGACTTGGATTTTGATGTAGGTGCGTGTACATACAGTATGCTTATGCGAGCACATAGTCCCTAGTGTGTGCACATGCATATGCTAGGCCACTTACTTATTCCTGTGTGTATGTGTGCGCAAATTCACTTTTCCAGTACATTACATTTTGTTATTTTTAGTCCAAAACAAATTAGATATATTGAAGTTCTTGCCAGTGGTGTGACAGTTATGAATGCTCTTTGCTACTTTGTATTTAATCTTTCTCTTAATTTTAACAATGTTACTAGGAGTCAGTTGTATGTTAATAACTCTTTATTTTTCCCATTATGTCCTTGATATTGCCAAGATTTTTGTTTGTAATCACAACAAAAGTAACCCTGTGGTAACTTAAAAAAAAAAGTCCCATGATTACTATGATTCTTTCCAATTCTATAGCTATTTTTTTTTTCTCATTGACTCTAGGTTATCCGATGCAAGAAAGGGAAGGCAGGAATGCACTGCATGAAGACGTTGCAAGCAGTCCTGATAGCCATGTTCGAGGACCCTATTCAGCCCCCTCAGGTGGCTTCTATTGTAGAGTCACTAGGGGAATACCTTATCTCCATGACTTATTGAGGTAAGCTCGATGGATTAGTAGCATTTTTTTTTTGTGTGTGGAGTAAAAGACCTGCTGTAGTTAGAATTTAAGAGTGCCCTTGGATCTGTAAAGTTGAATTTGCTTTGAATACGTAATGATTTTTTTGGTGTGATTTTACTAGATATTTAGTTTGTATTTTTTCGTTTTGTTTCAGTGAATGAAGACTTCGTGAATATCACTATCTTCATTGGAGCTTCATGGCAGTGGGTGACATGTGATAAACCAGTGTTGACCAGTGTTTGACGGTGACTTGAACATGTGTTCCATCTTGATAAAAACTTGGCTACTCAATCAGAAAAAATAAAAGATGAAAAAAAAGTGGAAACCCATGTATTTTTTGTTTTTCTTTGGATAATACCAGCAACAATTTAGGAAAGGCTTGGCTGTCACACCAGTGTTTATGTATGTATGTAATGTATTTGACGTCGGAAAGGGTTCTATGAAATGAATATACTTTCGCGTTTAAAAAAAAAAAAAAAACACCTTTGTATAATAAATTTTTTCCATGGACATTTTATTATTGCAGCTTTTTGTGAATTAACTTGCACTCTTATATAAGTGATGGTTTGCAGCTGATGGTTTTTGCAACTATTAGTGAAGTGGCTAGCCTGTGTATATTTGCGAGCATTTAGTGGTAGGGAGAGGGATGATCTGATAACCTTGTCCTTATAATCCTCCTGATAATTTTGTCTTCCTCTGCTTTCATCTCCAGAACATACCTCTGACAAATTGCCTTTTTCAGTCTTGCCTCCATCTCGGTATTTTCCTCATCCTCGACTCCCACACTCCAACATACTTGTGTGAGTGTCTAGTCTCTGCTAGCCACTGATCCCAGTGTTGAATTTTTGTTTTATTTTTTTTATATTAAATTTGTTCCTAAATGAAATTTAAAGTTTCCTGTACCCAACAGCTGTAAATGGAAACTATTAAATGGAATAAGCATTCCTTATCTCAACTGGTATCTTTTATGTTGATATCCAACGAACTATATTTTCTTGTATGAAAACCTACTCTAGCCTGTAACTGAATATTGGGTCCTAATTACTATTACTGCGCATTTGCTCAGTCTTGATAAGTTTTGTTATAAAGCCAATTTTTCTTTTTGATTATGATTACGGGGAATAATTTTTTCTTTGAACCCCGTGCTTTTTTGGGGGTTGGGGGGGATTTTGAACTTGAATTTTGAAAAAAAAAGTTTGGGGGGATCCCTGTCATGGATTCACGAGAGATCGGCGATTATGAACCCGAGGTGATTGGTTCAACGCAGCTCATTTTCCTGTTCAAAACACATCTCTGGTTCAGAATCGCTGGTCACAATTTTTTAACTGTTAAGGTTCCAGTGTAGTGTCACCCACTCAGGGTTGGCGCTGCAATTCTTGGAGGCACAAAATTGGCCCATGTGCCCAGGCTTGGTGTTCTGCCGCGTCAGTAGTTCTACTGCGGACGCTCAGTATTGTACAGCTTCCATTCCCCCCCCAATAAACACTACTTAATAACATTATATTTTTATATATCCCTTGGTTAAGGTGCACATAACTGGCTAATTTTCTTTTTGTAAACCATTTCCCAAGCATGCCAGTGGATCCAGTGCACCTTGTAGCTAGGCTGGCTCCATTTGTGAAAGTCATTTGCATCCAACGTAATTGTTTTTTCACCTTAGTAATAGACATTGGGGTAGATGTACAAAAACATTAATCGGACTCTAATCTGAACTATAGTAGACATTGCATGCTAGTTTTGTAGATGGAGATTCTATAGACTTTGGCTTTGTCAGTTTAGTCATAAATTGTGGGGTAAGGAGAAATTCCAACTTTTCTTAATTTTGTAAAATTGCAAAATAGCAGGACGTACAAACTGTAAGGGTGGAACGCAAAGCCTGTTAATCTAGAGCCTATAATTAATGATGGTAAGCAGGAATAATGCAGTGCGCCTGTATTTCATAAATATTTAGGTCTTTAATATGGAGAGAACATCTCGCTCGAAGAAAGAAAAAGAATAAAAAACACCAATTATTGTAATGTTTATTTTGCCAAGTGTTTTACAGGTTAATAAAAATGCATTAGACAATTTGACTTACAAAACAATGTAGCGGGAAAGTTTTAAGTACAATCAAGTCTTTGCTGCCACCCATTCTTAGACTTGGTACCATCATGAGCAAGATGTTGCAAGCGGTGAGATGAGATGGCAAATTTCAACATTGCTCGGGCACTACACCAATAAGCAATTACCAATTAAGGTTTCAGATCTTAAAAAGCATGGTAGATGGTCTCGGACCTTAACCCTAAGATTTTACTTATGCCATCGAGGTTAAAATTATTAGATGTGGCTTTACATTCAAGGACAGTTTTCTTGTTACACTGACAGTTACAAATTAAAACCTTTTCATGGTTACAAATAAAGGTGGCCGTGTTAGCAAAGATTATACCACATCCACAAACAATACACGCTACCAGGACTAAGATATGTACATGTAGCGATGAGCTCACCGGATTGTGGAATAAAATTTAGTTTTGTGTCAAGTAATAAAACCTTTTCACTATATATAATGCTAAATGGTTAAATAAGAACTTTTATTTACAATATACATCTATAAATCCCACAAATATTTGATAAATGGACTCGAAAAATACAAACCCCTTGTGTAACCAGAAATTTGACAAGTGAACAAATCAATTAAGTTACGAAGGCCCCTGCAGTGTGTCTGCTGTGGAGGACTGACGAGTCGATACAACCAAGCGGAACTGCCTTGCGTGTGTGTAGGAGGGGACTGGTTGTGAGTTGTGTGCCAAGATAACCTGAGCCTGGCGCATTTTGAGGCTAAGGGAAACGATATTTTTTTTTTATCGTCTCCATTGCCAGAACTTGTTACCTATTCACATGTCTACACTCGCTGGGGAAATCTATTCATAAACTACAGTTCATTTGCTGTAAAGTTGATGCTTGATATACAACCACATTTTTCTTGATTATGCAGTAAGTATATCAACAAATGAACTGAAATTTACTTCTGATTTCATTCGGTAGACGTGTGATAGCTACAAGACAAAATGGGGTGAAGACTGTAACTATAATTACAGGCTATGTTAATACCAAATGTTGTCTTGGACAGCATTTCCTGCTTGGGGGAGGGGGAGGGGGGGTCTTTTAATGTAGACTGCACTATAAAGGAACAATGGCTGCTGACATCGAAGCAAAACACAGCCGCTGAATGAGGCTTACATGACCGGCGACCTTTCCGAATCTGACAACACACAGCTTACAAGCAATATATCTCTACAACCTAGTTTTTTTTTATTTTTGATGGTTTAAGCTATGAAAGAAAATGGAGATTGTAAATTACTACTTAATCTAGCTTCATGAAAATTTGACTTTTTCTTGAGGATGGATTATCAACTGACCAGTCGCCCCAAAAATTACTGGACAGGATTTTGGACTTACAAAAAAAAAAAAACTGTCCCCTATATATAATGTACATTATAACTTACTATTAGCTATATACATTGTAGGCGTCACACTTACGGCCCCAACAAACATTTTATACCTGGCGATCTGCAACTGCATTGTCAGCCTTAGACAAAGATGTTAAACCAAACCCTATACACCGTTGACCCCGCTATGAGAGGTTACCAACTATACACCTTAAACTAGCTAAATCTGTCCGAATGGCCATGTATTTTGATGAGTATTTGGCTGTTCTATGGCAGATTACACTTCAGGAGTCTGGGAGAAGGTAACGTTGCAGCTACATCACGTGTCAAGCTACACTTTGTTATCGAAGGAGTACTGTTTCCTTCGCCAAAATCCCCGGAAGAAGTTGAAGCGGAACTTGGAGCCTTCACCGTCTGAAAAAGATGAGAAAAAAAGTTGTTAACACTGGCAAACTCTTCAAAGCAATGCAATAAGTGAAAGGCGTTTCTCCACACCTTAATTACAGCTCTATGTTCTTTAGTTACATGACATATTTTATCGTAGGTACACTTTGCATTACATAGTTATAGCTGCACTATTTATAAGTTTATATAAACCGAAACCAATATCAATAAGCATAGATGTCATGTTGCAAATTTATTCCAGACAAACAAACCAGAGACAAAAAACAATGCAAACGCAAGGATTTTTTTTACTGTCTGATACGCATGTCTATGCGTAACAGATGATAAAACGGGGAAATCACAATGAATCCCGATACGAAACCGTGAATGAAAAGCCACCATCGCTATAAATATCTGCAGCAAACGTCGCCAGCGCACAACAGGCTGGAGTTCACGCGCCCCGGATAAATGGTGCCTGCAACCTAGTTCGAGATGTTAGGTCGCACTCTGCTCTCAGATAGCGCACAGATCAGGAACTCATGATTCGCCGTTTCAAATTGTTTCTTGGGCGGATTTACCTTAGATCATGTATCGGTGTATATGCATGCATACATTAAATCACGTTGCTGCATATTCATTACGTACTGAAAGATTAATGCAGTGATTTGGAACCTACATCGGAGTTGGATTTTCTCTTTCCCCTCCTCCTCCTCTTCCCCTTTCTTTCTTTTTTTTTATCAAAAAACGGATAACTGCGTGATTATGATATTGTTCTTCAATATTCACGCAGGCGCACTACATTGTATAATTAACGTAGGCGTGATGCAAATGGTTCAGTGAAGGCTGTGGCCGGCAGCTATACTGTAACATCAGGAAGTCTGCTTGACACAACCAGTCTCCAAATGGGTTACGCCAAAATATCCACCGACCCGGTCTGCCTTGGCCACGTCGAGATCCCGCCTGCGCAAGCATCCGCAGCCATACGGGCATTTTTATGTAAATCTGGATGAAAATAACCGTTGTAAAAAAAAATATTAATACAGATTAAATAACGAGCGGTGGCTGTCACGACAGTACGGGTTTTATAAATTTTATGCAGAATGTAATTAGAGTGTAAAATCTACATATTTGGTAAAAGCAAGTTACTGAAGTGCCATACATAACAAGACAAAAAAGAAAGCACTTCTTTATAAATATGATGAACTTTGCTATGAATCTTGTTAGAGGTGCGCCTTACCCGCACGTAAAAAGGAATAAAAATGATTCTTTGCCAGATATGGCCCCTACAACCAAAGTGGTATGTCGACCAACGTCACAACCACACTCGCACCTGTGCTCAAGAGCGTCACTTGGCTGTCACGTTTAACCATAGCCTAATGAAGTATAGAGTCTGCTGAGGGTTTGGAATGTTGGCGCTGTCACGGTTGGCATCTCGGCATAGTAGGCATGAATATCTGGTCCCCCTGATACACTAACACTACGTTTCCTTGACAGACCGTTTTTTCTTCGTTATTCTTCCATCTCTCTCATACACAATTAAGCACACATAAACGTAGTGACGTAAATGCTGCGTTACAAATCATGTACCCCAATGACCAATCTACTTCCCGCCAGTCTAGCACGGTCTCGTCAAAAGAATACCTTCCTGACCTCTCTCACCCTACCACTAGTTCTTTTAGCAGAGAGAGAAAAAAAATCAGTCACGAAAGACATGGCAGCACCGGGACACACAAGTGAAGG